CGTCGTTTACGTTCAATTTTTTTTGCTCGTTTAGCTGTACGTCGTGCTTTTTCTTCACGTTCTTGTTCAGCACGACATTTATGAAAATTTTCCACAACAACACCAACAAACATATTCAGAACAAAAAAGCCAACAAGTAATAAAAATGATATAAAATAGATTAATTTAGCTTCATTATGATTCCTTATTGGTTGCATATCAATACCAACAGCATCAATACCATTATACATAATTTGTACCCAACCATCACGTGATGCTAAAACAAATAATGCAAGTAATGCCTAAAGAAAATAGATAAGTCCGTTATATTTATAATGATTTTTAATTTATATACTTGGCCTAAATTGTCAAAATTATATTGTTGATTTCTCCATCGATGATCAGCCATAGTTTCACATTGATGTCTTGTTATTACATCACGAGCAAGTGCACCTTCACAATAATAAAATTTTCCTTTGAAAAGCTATGAAAAGAAAGAATATAATAGATTAAACATTTTTTCATACACAAAATTGAATCCAATAAAAAAGTTTAAATTAGTATATAAATGATAATTCTAACAAATGGATTTCACAGTAAAGGAAGTGTTGAGAGTTAATGTTTAGTAATTTTTATAGAAGAATTCAACTTGATGCGAAATCAACATTTTCTGCTCTAGCTTTTTATCAAAATTCAATTAAAACTAACTCATGAATCATATAAATCAATTAATTCTAGTGTCCTCATGCTACTCTCCTCTAAGTGCATTCTGATAGTAAAACTTCTGAAAAACACTCGAAGCACAAGTAATGGTAGAATATTTAATATAATCTCACTTATGAGTCACATGCTAATGTTACTCTATCTATAGATCGATCAATTTAATTGTAACTGAGTTCTGAAAATATAAGGAAATATTAAAGTAGATTCTTATTAGTTTTGTAATTCAGCATGTACAATTACTCATAAAAAAAATTTATCGAGCAACAAATAATTAATAACTTATTTACCTGAACGCCAAGAATGCCAAAAATAATAAAAAATGTACAACAAATAACAACAATATGACCAATAGGTCTTAGTGATGAAAGTAATGTTTGAACAACAAGTTTAAGGCCAGGTGCTCGACTAATAACTATAAAATAACATATTATAAATTTTAAATAAAAATCACTATTGTTGTTTTTTTCTGCTTACCTCGTAATGGTCTCAATGTTCTTAATAGTCGAAAAACTCGTAACATACTAAATATTCGTGTCGTTGCATCTGATTCATTATTTGTAGATGTACTGGAAACACCAACACTAGTACGATTCATTGTTGCAATATCGATAATAGATATAATAACTAGTGAACCATCCATAACATTCCAACCTGTATGTAAATATGTATGTTGTCCACATATAAGACCATTCGATATGATTTTGATTATCATTTCAATACTAAATATAACTGTAAATATATAATTTGTATAATTTAAAAATTGACGTTCCTAAATAAAAATCAGTTTTTGATTTTATTAAATTTTTATTAATAAATAAAAGGCATACAAGACTTATTGCTGGAATTGATGGACGTTCCATCGCAAGTGTTATACAATTAAGTGCAATAAAAAATAGAACCGTATAATCAAATGATTTTTTTTGGATTAAACACTTTAATGCTTTACGTAATCTATAAGATAAAATTTATTGGGTTTTTAATAAGAAAAAAAAAGCATATTTACCGATTCTCTGGTGAAAACAAATAAAGAGAATAATCCCTTCGTTTTTCTAAATAGTGATAAATTCGTTGTCCACATATACGATATAGACATGCTTGCATAAGCTAAATAAACAAAAAGATATTTTCAGATAATTCATCTATTAATAGATTATAGTAGAATATCTGATATAATTCAGTTATAGTAAAGGTTAACTACATTCACTTATCGTATTAATAGTATTTAATGACAAGTATATTTATCATACTTGAATATCTGCTAATGACATTTTCGAGCTATGATAAATGATTAAACTTATACAATATATCACCACGAAATACATATGATTTATTCTCAATCTGACACATCATTTAGTTTAAAGTAAACACTCAAAAACAGCTATATATTATTGACTTACTCCAACTTCTTGTCGATCATCGTTGACAAGATCTAATTGCATATCACTTTGATTATTAATTATTGATTGTGTATTTAAATTCGTATCTGTAACTAATCGAATGGTATTCGTTTTATGAGATGGTGTATATTGTATATATTCTTCATGTTTTGGTGTTTCATAAATACTTGCTGTTTCTATTTGTCCCATTGGATAAGAAGAATTATCTAATGTTGATCGTCGTTTTGTAGATGGATGTAAATTATCGATATCTTGTTCAATTAATTTTCCATCACGTTGCATGAAACGTCTATATAAAGTTGTTGTTGATGATGATGTTGATGATGGTCGATGAGATTTTGCTCGTCGCATAGGAGTTAACTTCTCCTGTTGTTGTCTATAATTTGATTGTATTAAGGAATTTCGCATATTATTTTTTGAATATGGTACTGGTAGTGGAGGAGTTGGAGCACATGGAGTAAAATATTTTTGTGATGATTTACTTAAAACTGTTACGGAAGAATTATCATTACTAACAATTGTATATGAATGATTTCCATTTAAACTATAATGTCTTTTATGAAGATTTTCATTTGAATGTAACATTGAAGTGGTAGATATAGTATCACGTCGTTTAGGAATTATTTTTTCAACGATTGATGTTGACGGCTTTGTTATATCATCTAATTGTGATAATTCAGAAACATCATTTTCAGTATCATTTTCATCGATAATTTGTTTATTTATTTGCACTTGACTAGCCGATCTTCTTATTATAGATGAACGACGAGCTACATCATTTGTATGATAGGAATCAAAACGTGTTGGACATGTATAATAACTGTATGTTGTTGTTGATGTTGATGATGGCGTTTGTGGTTGTGATGAACGAGTTTTTATTATGGATTTATATGGAGATGTTGGAGTAGAAATATTCGTTATTTGTCGTAAATGTGTTTGAAGCATTGGTAATTTTAATTCATCATCGTTACTAATGGCAATTTTTGGAATCATTATTTTTACTTCTATAAAAACAAATTCATTATAATAAATTATAACAAAAAAAAACAAATAGAAACCTTTTGTTCGAGAATTTTTATTTTCATGATTACTATTTTTAGTGCTTGTAATATCATCTGTAATTAATTCATGTGGATTGGCAGGTGTTTCAACATCACCTGTTAAAAGTGCTTGAGTCTAAACAAGGATACAAAATAATTATCATTTCACTTCATTTTGCATTATATATGAATTAGAATTATATCAATTACAAGAAAAATATGCTAGACTAAGAAAACCTACTAACATAATCTGTTTCTTTTTAATACAATTTTACATTTCTTGTTTATATGTATTCTATGATAGTTTACTAAATGATTCAGTATTGACGTTCATACTCTCACAGCTTTGTTCCTGAGTAGTGAGATTTCATAAATATATTAAAAGAAAAACATGTACGATAATGATCGTATAATCATGTTAGAATATTTCGGAAATAAAGCTTCCAATATATAATTCTTCGTAAAAAGCTATGACCTAGATGATATCAATACTAAAATATGTTCTGTCATGAATTTTTTTATTTATAGTGTCAATTACTTTGCTAGAAATCAAAATAAAATCTTACTTTAAATGGATCAGCTTTAGCTAATCGATCAGTACTACTTCCACTCTCGGAACCAGTACCTTTCTAGAGAAAAAAACATCAAGAATAACGATAAATTAAAATAAAGAAAAAAAATTAGTTTAACCTCTGTTGAAAATCCTTCAACAAGAATAGCAACAAGTAGATTAAATAAAACATAATTTCCAAATGTCATCAATGCAATAAAATATAAAGCTGCCCAAGCGCTTGTTTTTTCCATTCCATTATAGAGTACTTCATTCCAATCTTCTTGTGTTAATACCTATATAAAAAATATTTTATAATTCATGAAAGTACAACAAAACTCTACATATAAGCAATCAAAATGAAATATATAAAGCGGGATGGTACGGTTGTGCATAATGAAATGAAAGCAAAAGAAAAAGAAAGAAAATATATACAAGTCAAAATATGTCTAATAAAGCTTAAAAAATAGAAGACAAAATAAGGATAGTAGGTAATTAATATGCTAAATTTAATTTCATAGGCAAGTTTGTCTTATATAATTGATACCTGAAATACGGTTAATAATGCAAAACGTAATGAATCGAAATTTTTTCTCTCTTGGATACATCTTAAATCTTTGAGTTCGGTATGATTTTTTAATAAATCCATTTCAATACATGAACAACATTGACATTTCATGTCAAATTCTTCATGTGATGTGGAATTGAATGCTTGTAATGTACAAAATTCACCACCAAATAAATGCATACCAAGAATACTAATTGTCGATTATCGAAAAGAAGAAAACAAAACACAACAAAACAGAATAAAGTTTGTTTGTGCAATGAAAAAAAGAACATCGAAAGCATAGCATATTTAGGATACAGATGTCAAGTGAAATGACTGACATTATACTGCTAGTTTTCTTTTTGGGGTGTGTGTGTGAACATATTGGTCTGTGTGAAAGGTTTTTTTTTGTTTTTATATAAACATCAATAACAACATACGGAAAACAACCCCAGCAATGACATGTACGAATAGAAAAGTTTTATCTGTGAAACTTTTTTTTTTATATTATTACTTGAAATACAGTTAAAGTTGCCCATAAAAGAGAATCGAAGTTTTTTCGTGAACACTCAAATTCAAGATGTTCGCTGTGTTTTACTTTGATGTATTTGCAAAATTTGCAACCAAAAATATTCATACCCAAAATACTGGAGAAGAAGTTTTGCGTTATTTTAAGTAGAAATTCTATCTATTAGAAATCGACGAATATGTATTTCTACTTTTGTTCTTTCTTTTAAATTTTTCAATAGAACATATTCGAAGATTTTTAATAGTTAAGTTTAAATTGATGTGTTCATGGACACTTACCTGAAGATAAAAATAAATAATAACAGTAAAGAAAAAAATGTTGCAACATTATCCATTGTTTTGAGCATTACAACCTTAAATATAGAATAAAAATTCAATAAATTGACCTATAAATCTACATATATAACCACATTTTCTGAAAGTAATTCATTATTAAATAAATTTCATTATATTTCTCATGTATTGACCTTTTTTTTTGTTAGTCCTTCATGATTTCATATCATTAGAAAACTAATCTTCTTTTCTGAAGATACAAAAAAGAAAATAATGAAGAGTAAATTCTCAAGAGTTTAGGATGAAATCCCAATATGATTTTATTATTTATTTTGTTTCAATGAAGTTTATTTAATCTATCTTTCGAATTTCTTTTTTTTTCAATTTTTTATATATAAAAAATCTTGTCTTACCAATTGTCGTCTTAATGTTGGCATAAATCGTACAAGTTTTAATACACGTAGTAAACGAAACGTACGTAAAACAGATAGACCACTATTTTTTTGTCCTTGTAATTCAATAACACTCATAATAACAATTCCACCATCGAATAGATTATATGCATTTTTAATATATTTTAAACACCCATCAACTATTATTTTACAAACCATTTCAATTGCAAATAACGTCGTAAAAACGATATTACTATATTCTAATGCATTTGTTAATGAATCTGGTTGTCCATGATATTCAATACCCATTGATAAAGTATTTATAACAATAGCTGTTAAAACAACACGACGAAAAAATTTACTTGCAACAAAATTTGATAATAATTGACGAAATTTAGTTAAATATGAAAAACAATATTTATTAAGACATGAACATATTCTGGATTTTTTCTTCTTTTTTCTTTCTTCATAATTATCATTACCATCATCATCATCGTCGTCATCATCATCATCATCATCACTGATCTCATCTTCACGATGACATTCACAAAAATGAATATTGGATTTTTTCTCATTTGTTTCAACTAATAAACGTTCAACTATATTATTTGCTGATGGAATTGTATTGACTTCTGGACAAAGAATTTCTGCAACATCCGTTGATTTTCTAAGACATTTCCTCAATTGTAATGGTGATAGAGTTGGTGCTAATGAATGAGCACCTTGAGAAAAAGATAAATTTATTTGAGTTTCAATAGAAGGACTTGGTGGATTTCTTGAATCGATTATTTGCGATATTTCAGGACTAGCAGTTGGTGCATCAATTAAAAATGGATTTATTGATGATACTGCTGATGGAAATGTTGGAAGACTTGATTTTTCTATAGGCTGATAAAGTCGACAATTAGATTTATGAACTATCGGACGATTAGATGTTGAAGATAATTTTTTATCATCTGTTGTTAATAATTTTTTTCGACGATGTTTTCCAACTTCAAGTAAACGTTTCTGATTAACCTTTAGAAAAACAAAAAAATTTTTTACATAGATTTTATTATAGAAAAAGAGAATAATTTTTTTACTCTTTTTGTTTTCTGACTTTTTCGTCTGTAATTTTTCCATGATATAACTAAACGTTTATATGCATGTTTCCATAAACGTTCAAGATATTTAATAGTTTCTTCCCAACATGAACCTGGCTCATCACTTGTTAATGTACTTGATGAACGTGAAAAACGTCTTCGTTCAGCTAACATACGTTCAGTTTCACGTTTTTTTGTCTCACTAAATTGTGTTGCAATAACAACAAGACATAAATTAATCATAAAAAATGAACCAATTATAATAAGAAAAACAAAATAAATCCAGTCCCAGAATGAATGAGCATCTTGTATATAATACATGATATTAACCCAACTCTCAAGACTAATTATCTAAAGAACAAAAAAGAACAAATAAATATATAGAAAAAACGATATATGATATTACTTGAAATATAACAACCCATGCTAAACCAATATTATCAAAACTGATCGAACCCGAATAAGGATTTTTATCCGATACATTACAAAATTTATAATATTGATTCCAATTAATACAACCATTTATTGATTTATGTGGATCTTTTAACATTTGTTCATGTACTGCATAAAAATCAAGTTCACATGTCATATTTCCTTTTCGTAATTTAGGAATTTCTGAACATTTTGTCATTCCACTTGCCTGAGGGTTTGAACAAACAAATGAATCTTGATCAGGTGGAATATAAAAAGGCCGATATGGAAAATCCCTAAAAGAAAAATAGAATGATTCATTTTGTTATTTTTTCTTCCGTTTCAATAAAAACAACACCTACTCAAATAAAGTATTATCAGTGATCATTGTTGTATTTAATTGTAAAAAACAACGATTACGTAATAGACCTTTCCATAATTGTACACCAACAATACCAAATATGAAGAAGACAAAAAAACAAAGAAGTAACACATTTCCAAGCATTGGTAATGTATCAAGTAAAAGCATGACTAATATACGCATGGATGGTACGCGATTAATGGCACGTAATGGACGAAGAACTCGAACTGTACGAATAGCTGATAAACTTAAATTATCACCTGGTATTAATGATTCAACTAATCTATAAATTTTAAATATTAAATAAAAAAAAATAATTTTTTTTTTGTTTTTTCAAGAAAAAACGTACCCAGCAACAACAATAAAACAATCAAGTCTATTCCATGTTTCCGCTAAATAGGTTCCTTTACCATATATTCCCATGGCAGTCATTTTAATACACATTTCAATAGTAAAAAATCCAAAAATAAAATAATCTGTTGCTTGTAACCATATACAACGTGGTGTATCACATTTTTTAGTTAATTGTAAACCCGTATTATGTGCACATGGTTGATACATACCAAGTGTTATACAATTAAGTATAATAACTATCATACTTATACGTTCAAACCATGGCCATGTTATTAGTCGTAAACATTGATAACGTGGTGTTGTTGTTTGTTTAAGACAATAAAAGACTTGATCAACAAAACCAGGAAATGGTAATTCACTTTCATCTGCTTCTTCAAGATTACGTGAACGTGGTAAATCAGATATAACATTTGATGATGCACGTTCATTTATAAAACGATCCGTTTCATGTATGTTCGTATCATCATTTGGTATTGTTACTATAGTTGGTGATGGTGTATAATAATGATTATTTATACTATTGATAGTATGATTTGTATTATTGACTTTTGTTAAACGATTTTTATCCATGATCGAGCAAATATTCTTGCTGCATCATCTGAATGGAATAGGTGATCGTGAGACTGAGAATAGTAACAGCAGTCGACACCGATAAGCATCTATATATACACAAAAAAAAAAAAGAAACACAGTAATAACAATCAGGGATTATTGATGTGTTTCTGTCAAAAAGAAAGTTCGTCTATATAAGGCCATTAATTGCTCAGAATCTCATTTATTTTCAAGTACCTTTAACATAGAGGTGTATATTCGAATAATGTCCCTGTAAAATTATAAAAAATGACATATACATTTGTATATATGTATATGTATGTGTGACTATATACTGAAAAAAAACATGTTGTTAATAAGACGATAGAGAAAATATGACCTTGTTATGACTTACATCGAGCCGACAGAAAAGAACTAGGAGGTAAAACTTTCTATATATTCCATCATCATCCTAATTCTTGTTATTCTTGACTTTTTTTTTTATTCTTAAATATTTTATAGATCTGAAAAGAAAAAAAAGAAAGTATATAGAAGTTAAATAACTGGATGTCAACGTTATTTCTAACGTTGTCTGATCTTAGTATGTTTCGTGTAATAAAATGTCGTTCAGTTACAATATGAATATCTCTTGGGAAATCTTATAGTTTCTCGTCATCATTGTTGTCGTTGCCAAGGGGCAACTTTTCACATTGAATGTGTTGTTGATGATAGTAATCGAAGATGCATATAGAAGTATGTATACATGCATGTTGTTGTATCAGGAATATACTGATTTACTAACTTGCAATTTCATCAAATAATTCTATCAAAAAATTTGTAAATTTGATGAAAGGATGTTGATGAAATTGCATATGTCAGCTAGAAAATGGATAAAGAATTGATTGATAGTTATATTATTAGAAAAATATGAAAAGGATAAAAACTATTTAACAATAATTATATTCATATGTTCATTGAATAGTAAACAAAAACAAAAAAAAAAGATTTTCATCTGTATTTCATTCAAAGTAAATAATCATTTTTTTTAATTGTAGCTTAAATCAAAGACTTTGCTTGATGAAATGTATACATCTTTCATGTTATTAATTGTAAACTATATGTTATAATATATCGACTAAGCTTATAGAATTTATTCATAATACTATTTAGAATATGATTACTTGTTTGATTTTAATCATTATATAAAATATCGCTGAGACAAAATTTATTTGTTTTTCGAAACTTACCATTTAGTTGAATGAAATACAGATGAAAAGGAAAAGGTTGCATAGTTTTTTGATTATCATTTTGTGATAATATAAATATTGTTGTCAGGAAATTTTATTGTCTTCATATTTCATAATAATATGTTTATCAATTAGTACTTTACCAACTTTTTCTGACTCAGAGAAAAATCAGTTCGTCAACTAATATAATTTTGATAAGACATCATCAATATTTTTTCTTTACCGTCAAACTTTATGTAACATTTGCTTCTTTTGCGTACATACGAATAAAAGCATGTAAACACATTTATTCTAAAACCTGTTGTAGATTTTTATAAAAACCTGTATGTTTTTCTTAATAATAATGTCGACGATCAAAGAAAAAACGGAATAAAGGAAAAAAAGAGAGATGATGATGAAGGAAAATAAATAATGTTTTTTTTCCATTTAGGTATAATAAGACGCTTAAAAGTTCAAGTAAATGACGAGAGTAAACGCATATTTAAAAAATAGTCAAAAAAAAGTGGTTAAAAAATGAATACTTCCCTTGTTCCACTTACCCGGACGTTTCTCGGATATCCTCATTTCCCGTTATTCGCTTTGTTTGATCTGGTCACGCCTTATTTTTTCTTCGATTTTTTTCTTCTTTTTTACTCAATTTGAAAAAAAATTGATGAAGACAAAGTAGAAGAAATACGGGAGACCACAAGAAAGAAAAAAGCAGAATATCATTTATTCGACGACTTAAATGACATCTCATTAGAATAAGACAAGCTCAATGATAACTACGACGTACGGATGGAAACAGCATGATCGAATGGGTATTGGGTATAGTACGTTTGACTATAATATATATAAAAGAAGCTAAATGAGTAAGTCAAATGAAAAATGGTGACAATGACTTCGAAGACTGGCGACAGTAAGGCACGCGTGTATTTAATACCAGAAAAGAATAGTGTATTGATTCAGGTTTGATTCGCTTTTTTCTTTTTGTTTTCTTATCGATCAAAATTGATGATGAGAGTAATAGTAATGCATTAGTATATGAATGCTCTTGTAGTTCTGTCCCGATTTGCGTTAACATTAGAGTACAAACAAAAAAAACAACGGTTTCATTTTTTTATAGTAGTATGTATTATAAAACAGAGAGCCTCCTGTCACTCAGTGTTTATATAGAACTGAAAAGAACAAGCGATGAGAATCGATGGTAGCTCTTGGCACGATAAATTTCGTGTTATATGTTATATGGCAATAAGAGCAATAACAAACAACATACTGTTATAGAGTGAATTGGTTAGTTTTGTTAACTGCTAATTAGAAAGCACGAGTGTAAAGTAAAGAAAGCTTGCCAAATTTGATTTCTCTTTCTCTCTGTCTTTCTTGGTTTTTTTCTACTCCATTCGCAGATGATTTCTGACGAAGAGAGCGAGAGAGAGCAAGGTCGACATCGACTGAGGTAGACTAATGATTAATTTGACACTGTCGTCAACAAGCAATGATGATGATGATGATGATGATGACAAAATGAATGGGAACCAGCTCGACGACGGCGACTTCTAGCGAATAGATGATGATTTCGAGATGTGTTTGTTGGAGGTGAATGGGGTATTATTAAATATGATTTTTAGATGAATAAGAAAAATAAGCGTTAGAGTTGTTATTGGTAAAAGATTTCACCTTTATCGTATAATTTGCGTTCTATTGTCTGTCACCTTTCTTTTGTTGTTATCGTTATTTAAGTACGAACAACAGAATTACGATGCATAGTAGTATTAATGAACATATAAACAATGTATGCATATATTGCTTACTGTTACGAAGATCTAACTTAATACAATTAGAAGTCACGCGTATATCTGATCTGATCGTCAATTCCGATTTACTCTCTGTCAGTGGTCATTAGGGAAAATAAAGATAAAGACGAAGAAATTTCTTTTAGGGAAAAAGTGATGATGACAACGATGTTATTGTTGATGGCCTCTCGCGATCCATCATTCTATGTTACTGAAAAAATAGCAAGTTTTTTTTTCTGCTATTAAATAATCAACAAGCATTGATGACGAGTAGAACACTACTAACTGACAAGGAATACTATGCGCTAACGAAATTAAAATGTCGGATTTCCTTTTCTTTTGCCTAATAGATAAGAACCACTAATTCGTATTTGTATACGAAATAAGATTAGCTTTTGATAAATCGACTGCTAGTACATCGCACCAATAGATAACAATAGTCAATTTTCTTGACAATATAAGAAAATTTTTTTTGCACTCATTCTTCTTCTTCTTCTTCTTCACTTCTCTAATGAAAGCAAATAAATAAAAAATTTTATCTTACCTACTAGTGGTATCTTTTTAAAAATAAGATAATTTTATATTCATAATATAAATTATACTGATTACAAAACGTGTTTTCTTTCTTATTGCACTACCGGTATCATTAAGATTTCTTCAAACCTTCATCCTATGCTTTCGTGCATTTTCATTCTTATATTCCTTTTTTTCTTCTCTGTTTTTTTTTCTATTATACTTTCTCTATCGTTTGGTGCAGCTTAGTCGTTCAGTCATTCAAAAAAAGGGAAATTAATTGTTATGTTCTCTTTTTTTTTCCTTTTCCTCTCAATTTCTTTTTCTTTCGAGTTTTCTAGATTCTGTCGCGTCTTCTTTTTGTTGGACATTCAAATATAAAGGAATGCTACTACTAGCTGATCTGTTTGCAAGGTTGTCTACTTCCGATTCATTTCTACCCGAGAAGTTTGATAACGATGCATAAACGCACGCATGTGTGTACACAGATTAAAAGCTGATCGACAAAAAATGCAAGCATTACCATCATCTTTATGTTGTATGCTTATATTCGTTCTCTTAAAGCCTTACTCAGGAGAATATCATCATCATCATCATCATCATCATCATTGCTGGCATCATCGTCTTTTATACACGCATGTATGCACGCGTGAAAGCTATTGGCATACTACACTGACTAGAAAAAGAGAAAAGGGATTCAGGAATATAGCGACAACATCGACAACAACTAAAAAGAATAAACGTATACACGTGTCTATACATAAAATATCTTTCTGATAAATACTTTAATCTACCGTTGTCCCGATAGGAATGTCAAACATGCTAAGATTTGAACATCTCCATTCGTTGTTTCTATCTAACATATTTACGCTTAATTGATTAAACATTTGCATGCTAGTACTATGACTAAGTCGATCATCGAACTTACATATCTTTCTAATAACAATCATCGCAGTTCTGTTGCACACTAGAGACAATAACACGAATAGTAGAAAGGAACACACATCAGCATTGTCAACTAAAAAAACTGGAAAGAGAGAAATATAAAGAAGAAAAACAGAGCAAAAAAACTCTGTAATAAGAAAGATCTCATCAAATTAAAGCAAGCATGACACACATATGTGTACATGTAGAGAGGTCTAGTTGAGTTCACTAATAACAAGAGCATCAGAATGGTTTCTCACTCAACCATCTGTGAGCGATTGAAGCCAGAAGAGAGAAGAAGAAGAAGAGAGAAACAGATAGACATATAGGGAGGAAAAAAGAGGGAGTTAGCAGAAAATAGAATATACGTAGCATTAGAATATCGAATGACATTTAGGCTATGGCTACCGAATAGCAATAGAAATGCATTCGTAAATATTTTGACATGACACTATGTCTCCGACAGGCTCACCCTCTTACATTGCATGTTTATTTACGCGACATGACGTAGATTTGTTTGATGTTTGAAAACAATTGGTTTTTAAATCAAACAAATAGACTAATAAATATGCTAAAGAGATAA